TACTTTGGTTTTTTCAAGCGGTGGGAAAAAGGGTTTCTACTAAAGTTATTTTAGATATTTGCGAAGTACTAAAGAAGTCTTGGCATCTTTGATTGAACAATCCTGAAAGTGGATATGGATTGCCAATACCATTATCAGGATACTAGAACAAATTAAATAACTAATCCAAACAATAATAAGAAAATGAGTATTCCTTCTCAAGACTTAATTGTGGTAAAACCTATAAAAAGTGATTTATAAAATTAAGATGGTAAGCACCAAATTTTACTTCATTGAGATTTTTCCAACAATCACAAAAATTGATTCTTCTCTACATCTTCAAAGTCTTTTCTATATTCTTCTACAAAATCCCAAATGATTAATTTTTACCTTCCACTTTACCCCAACCTGCATATTTATTTCTTTTAAAAGGTAAATCAGATACAACTTTAAATTTATCTTTTACTGGAATAGTATTCACTTTATACAACAAATTTTTTAAGTGAATATTGTCACTTCTAAATTTTAATATTCCTATGTTTCCAAATTACTTAACCCTTTCATAGATAGGAGCCATAAACTATTTAATTTTATTTTCTTCATTTAATTCACAATCCGTAACATCTATATCTTTTAATTCTACACAAATATGAAAAAAGAAGTATTTGCTTAGAAAATACCATCCTATTTCATTTAAGGATCTATTTTATGAGAAATTGATCTCCTTCAAAGGATGCTGATAATTTAAACCCTATCTTTTAAAAAATTAGAATGCACAATTAGCAATCAACTTTGCAATATGATTCTTAATATCCATTCCATTTAAAAACAGATGAGTTAACATAGGTGTATATTCACTAAAGAAAAACGTCTTACATAAAGACTCCCAAGTTTCTACTGATCCAAAGGTATCATTATAAGAAAAATTTAAACATTTAAATTCAAATACCTTCTATTTCTGATACTATAACCATTCTTTGCTAGTTTCAATCAAGTTTTAAATCATTTAGTTTGATAAATTAAGTTACACTAATTCAAGCCTCTCTAATTTGATATACTGAAAAAATATCAAATAGCGACTTAATTCTTGGAATGCTTCTTCGTCAATATTTTGAGATTTGCTTAAAGTGAAGCGCGTTAAAGATAGAGGCTTTCCAACATTTTCACAATATTCTTCTGCTTAGTTTATTAATTTAAAGATTTATGTTACTGTAATATTGCATTACACTAAAATAAATTCTTTTAATTTAGATTCTTCGTTATAAATTAAATACTTCGATATATACAATAGGAAATCATTTGAGATCTTTTTGTGAGAGCTTAATTCAAATTAAGCATTAATTTCAAGTCTAATCAAATTTTTAAAATTATCACTTAGATGTTTATTGTTGAACTTTTGCAATCCTTTAAATGATTTATATTCAAGTTATTACCATTAAAATATCTTATTACTCAAGAAATTTTATATAATTTTATCCTATTCATCCTCACCTATTTCTTCCATTTTAGTTATTAATTTACAATTTAATGCAATTGATTCTGCATTATTAAACCATGCCATGGTTTCTTTTATATTTTAGATTCTTAGACTTGAAAATTTAATTTCTTATAAGGTTGTCGAATTTTAAGAAATATATTCTAATAATTTGGGAGTTAAATCTACAACTGTTTTAAGTTTAAGCACATTTAACTTAGGTATACTATTAATTAAATCAACATTATCAAATAATAAGCTACCACTTTAAGGGCATTCGATTTCAAAATGTTGTAACTTTTAACTCTCTAACAGATATTTAGAAAATGATTGAAGGAATTGGAATGAATCTTTGTTCTCGATCTTGAAAATTAATTTTTATATTAATGAAGTCCAATCGCCAAGATTTTGCTTAACAAATCTGTCATCATCTTTAAATTATATGGATTCTGAAATCTTTAATTATTTTATTGGAAGCTTTTGCCCAAAGATTATGTCCTTTAGGAATTGATTGGATTAATTTTAATTAAGGTATTCATCTACCCTTATGAGATGTAATTTAGTTATTTTTAATTTTCCTTCAAATTTATCTAAAAAGTTGAGTAATCCCTCTATAAATCCACTTTGAGCATCAGCAATTTTTAAAGATACTAAATTATTAATAAATAATGAATAAAAGGATTATGTATTTAAGGAATCATTAAATTTAATAGAAGAGAGAGAAATTTTTTTAATGCTTGTGAATGCTTATTTTTTATCTTTAATTTGAAGATCTGATTGTATAAGAATCTTTTCAGAAATACTTGTAAATAAATCTAGATCTACATCGCTTATTTTTAAATTATTAATCTTGCTTTTTGGATAATAAACTAAACCAGCCAACATTCTATAATAATAATTAGTTTTCTCTTTTTCATTTTCAAATTCAGTAAAGAATTTTAAAGCCATCTCTTAGACTCTTGGAGGAGGTGATTATATAAATTTTTCAGGTGCCAATTATATTTTATCTTGTAAATTTAACTGGTTTTATTCGATGAAACCATGTAATCTCTGTTCTTATTATTAAAAATCAGTATGTTATACTAAGATTTTTGTCTTTTTCTATTGCTAAAATTCTTTCGACATTATCAATTGATAAAACTACATATAAACAATATATTACTTTCCTCCATAAAGTACTTTTTATTTAATTATTATCAGAAAAATCAATACATTTTAAAAACTTTTTTGATATTTGCTCTTATTCAATGCAAGTTGATATTAAATCTATTAACCCTTAAAAAAATTCATCATTTAAAGAACAGTTTGATAAAACTAATTATTCTAATTGACACCTTAAGTCCTTTTCTTCTATCTGTTCCTAATTAAAGCAAACATACTCTAAAAATTGTAAAAATGCTTTGATATTTTTTTATAATTTCAATTTTTTCATTATTAAAACAGTTAATTATGATTTAATGAGTTATTAAGAATCTTTCAGCCCTGCAACTAATTTGTCCAAAGTTTTCTCAAAACCTTTACATTAGATGATTGATAATTATTCTAAATCACAATGAGGATCAAGAAAAAAGAATTATAATACTTCACTAGAGAAATTACATTCAATAAATGATAATTTAGTTATGAAATAAAATAATTATTTTCCTTGCTCTTCCTATTACTGACGCTATAAAAAATATTTGCTGAGAGATTTTGATAAATCCTCATTGATATCAACTTTTTTGAAATTTACTTCCTCTAGTTTTGGAGAAGCTAAAATAATTTTTAATGGTAAATCGAATTTCTTAAATTTATGATAAAGACATAGTTTCTTTAATGAGTCAAATTAAAATGATAAATCCATATCATATTCGAACTCGCTTATCTACAGATATTACAAATCCAGAAACTAATTGAAAATGCAATACTCAGAAAATATTTTAATTGCTTTATTATTTATATCAGTATTGTCCTTAAATTTTACAGTTTACAAATCAAAATTGTCATCTTTGACAGGTGATACATAATGCTCATGAGAGAGTTAATCATAAGTTAAACTTAAGTTAGCAAGACTGATCTAGTTTAATTTCACTTAACTATTAGTGATAAAGCATTTTAAAAACAATGATATATTCATTTATAATCCAACAATTTGAAGATCTAGCTTTTTTAAAGTAAAGAATTTTATATCAGATTAATTTTCTAAAAATTTACTCTGCAAAAGGATTTAGTCAAAGTATATCGTATCATTAAAGTTGTCTTCTTTAAATTATAATGTTTCCAAATCAAATGTCCTTTATGCCAAAAACACTTAAAGTATTTTCTCTGTTAATTTATCAGTTACAAAAGTATTCTTAATGATAAGGTTCTTCAAACTAAAAGTTCTATATACATCCAATGAATTTAAATATTATTAAAATGTAAAGCAATTTGAGTCTAATTCAAAGCTGCGTGAACTAAAACATAATGTTTAAATTGAAATAAATTCTTTTTCTTAAGTAAAAAACAAATTATTCCATAATTATTTTAATACCTCCTCTCCTAATTGTTGATTTTACTTTTTTATAGTTATTGATTGTAAGTTTAATTATTAAGCTGTTCTGTATTACTTTTTACAGTTTTAGATTGCATTAATGTAACTTTAACAGATCCCATCAGTTAATGAATTGATTACTAAACTCTTAACATTGCTAAAAGGATTAAAAACCACAAATTTTAATAAATCTTCTAGTAAATCATATTACTATATAATTTCGATTGTGCTCAAATCGATAGATTCCAAATTCAACCTTTCTCCTTATTTAATTCTATTTCTAAAAGCTTAAGCAAAATGGTACAATTTAGCTAAAAGTGATTCGCTATTTTAAAAGGTATTTTCAAAGGCAAAATACTTACAAGACTTAGATATAATTTCATCTAAGAGAATCTGTAATGCAGATTCATCAATTTAGGAATTATTTGATAAATCAAGTTCCAATAGTCTTAGATAAGAATAACGATTACCAATTAATGCTTTGCAATTAGATTGGGTTAATTAATTTAAGTTGTTTAATCCTAATTTTAAAAGTCCCTTAGCCTTTGCTAAGCTAACAAATAATGATTCTATAAGTGTATTGGGACCAAGATAGTTATTGGAAATATTAAGTTCAGAGATAGTTTCTAAGGCTGATTCACTATAACAAGTAGATATCAAATATTCAAACCCTTAATAATTTTATTCATTAAAGCAGTTACTTAAATTAAAAGAGTGATATTTCATTCTTTTCAATTTCTTTTAGATGTATGAGTAATTCTTTTCGTCAAATAATCTTTTATTGTATAAAATAATTGATTTGTATTAATGATTGATGCTTAAATTTAAAGTTAATTATTTTTCTAAGCAATCAGATAAGTTTTGTAAGTATTTACCTCTAAATATACCAGGATTATTTGATATAAGTAACTAAGTATATTGAGAGTACTTACATATTTTAAATTTAATTTGCTTTTAATTAATTCAAGAGTGAAGTCGTTGAGAGTATGATCATCAAGTTCATTATGATTAAATTCAATTTCTATCCCTTAAGGTTGTAGCCAAATAAGCAATTTCAATAAAAGCTAAAGATGTTCTAAACCTAACTTTGATTTAGTAAATTTCATTTTTTTCAACTGATCACAAAATCTTAATTGTTTTTCAATATAAATCCAATATTCAATTTTAAAGTTCCCTTGAAAGTTGACAAATCGTAAATTTCCATTCCACTGTTTATTTTCGAGAAGAATCTTCATTATATATAAATTTTACATCAAACTATTTCATTTACTTTTACAACTAAGTATCTGGATCAAACTTAAACATTCTTTTAATTTCTAGTTAAGCAACCTATTAAACATGTCTTTTAGATGATCTTTCCTAATCGACGGTTTTCTTGAGAGTATTAATATATTCTTCCATTAATAATTAAAAATATATTTATTATGTAATGTTTATTTAAAGAGAACAACTGAGATTTCATGAATACTAATTAATTCTTATGATACTAATGATGAATATTTACTGCAAATTAAAAAAATGAATTTGGATTAATCTCGGCCATCTATATGCATTTATTTATTATATAAATAAATTGCTGTTTTAATAATGCAAAGAGATTTAGCTATATTTCCAAATACACCATAGCTATAAGGTCTATTTAATCCGACTCCCATTCATCCCATGACAGCTTTTGTCGCAAGATCATGTTATAAGTACAATCAACTACAAAGAAACAAATAATAAAGAATCGTTATATAACACATACCTTAAAAACTAAGACCGAATGAGAAGAGACACATTTCTTTACCTAGAGCCTTGTAGGCCATAAAGAAACAGCAATTTGAATGTATTCACTTTTGAATTAATAAGGTAGCATTGAGAAGATCATCTCATTAAAAGGATTAGTCCTATAGTTTAGTATTCTCTGAGTTTAAATAGGAGGAATTAATCCTATCAAATATAGATAAATTTTATAATATGTAGAATAAATTACAAACAAGCAATGATGATTTAGTTGAAGAAAGGAAGGCAAATCTGAAAGAATTAAAAAGGTCAAATTCTAAGATGAAGAATGCTTTAGAGAATGATAAAACTAAGCTAATTTTATAAAACATATTAGGAGGAATGTAACAGAAGGTTAATGAAGTTGCACATGAGAATCATATGAGAATAATGGGGATGCAAATAAAGAAATTTAAATTGCAAGATCAATAGTCAATTAGAAATAAAGCATGGTCTCAAGAAAAGGAACGAGAATCCTCAAAATCTTTTGTTGAAAAGAGGGATTTTAATACTCGTTCAGTTTAAAAGAAAAGATATCAATCCCCTTAGACTAAAATCAAAAATATATCATAATAAGCAATGAAGACAAATCAAAATTTCAGATTTTCACTAACAGATTATTCTTCATTAAGCAGAGAATAATTGTTCTAAATGAAATTACTGAGTTATCACTATTTGATTTTTATAGTTGCTTCGCAAAGTAATTTTTATGTTTAACCATCTGAGGGTGTGATTGAATTAAAATTCAAAGTGGGAAAAGGAAATAATAGTTTATTAATAAAAGAATTGTTTAAATCTAGATGGTGGTGGAATCTAAATCAAGAGGCTGAATATAAGGAATTAAATTTTATATGGACGTAGATTAAGGTTCCACAATTTATGAATCTATAAGAATGGAGTAAAGATCCTTCCATTAATAGATTAAAATCCCTATCTTCAACATTTGCAGATTTAAAAAGATAAAAAAAACAGAAATCCCCAAAAAGTAATAAATAAATTCAAAAGTTTGGAACATTCGATGATCCAATAAAAAAATTGATTGTAGAATAGGATGTTAATGAACTGAAATCAATGGATAAGTCCATCTAAAGTTTTATTAAGTATGCTGAAAAGAAGGAGTTAAAAATAATTGAGAATGTAAATAAAGTAATCTATCATTTAACTATTTAGATTCACAATCATATTGAGAGAAATTATCATCTGGGTAATAAGAAAGCCATGTTCCATAATATGAAGAAGTATTATGAATTAACAAAACAGGAGTTATCTCTTCATTTACCTATGACTTTCCATGTTTCTGGAACCAAAGATAAGTAATATCAATAGTTTATGGAATATTATAAATAGAAGTATTTTAGATCTATTTATAAGGAAGGGAAACAATATTTGGATAGTGAAGCCAGGAGAATTTACTAATAGAGGAAATGGAATTATTGTTTGTTAATCCTTAGCTGAAATTCATAAAATTGTAAGCAAAAAGTAGGTTCATCCCAATGGCAAACCATTTACTTATTTGATACAAAAATATATTGAAAAACCCTTTCTGTATAACAAACGCAAATTTGACATACGGTGTTACTTTTTGATAACTCAGTTAAATAGCATCATCAGAGCCTACTGGTATGAGGAAGGCTATATAAGAACTTCGAGTGAAGAATTTGATATCAAAGATGTGAGTAATTAGTATGTGCATTTAACTAATGATGCTATTCAAAAATATAGTGAGGCTTATGGAAAATACGAAAATGGGAACAAGTTGTCTTTTGCAGAATTCTAAAGATATCTTGATAAATGGCATAGTAATGATCATCTGAATTTCTATAAGGATTTATACCCAGAATTGAAGATAATCACTTTGAATGCCATTAAGTCTGTATACCATAAGATTGAGCCTTACAAAAGAAACTACAATTTTGAAATTTTTGGATTAGATTTCATGATTGATGAGAAATTCTAACCATATTTAATTGAAATCAATACAAACCCTTGTTTAGAACTCAGTTCTCCCTTGTTGGGTAGAATTATTCCTGCTATGGTTGAAAATGCCTTCAGGTATTTGAATATTTAATCTGTAATTTAGGTTATCTATAGATACATTGATTCCTCCACCAGAGTAATCTACTTGGCCACCGAACAAGAAACATTTATTATTTTACGATAACATGTTGGAAAACAATAGATTCTAATTGATTTTCGACGAAAGAGAAGATGCCTAAGAATTAAATGTGTTATATAGCAATTAATTAAATGATGATCAAACAGATGAAATGGATGAAGAAGAGGAAGAATATCAATCTGATGCTGATTGAAATAAACTTAATGTTATACTCATCTACCATCTTCTTTTTATAGAAATATTATAATCACTAAAATCAAAATGATTGTTTCAATTAAAATTAATCAATTGTCTATAGAATTAATTGCATTAATTAATGAAATTAAGAATTTGTTTATATTCACATTATACTACAAGTGCATGCAGCTTTGGTATCCCTTCTGGATTCCAAGTTCTGTAATTGTGAAGGTTCCTTTTTATCTGTGTCATCAAAATAAAACACTTTCTTTTCATAATATCTCTGTTATTATTAAATTGTACCTTAAATTACTTGCTGAGTATATTAGAGATGGTTTTGATATCTATTTTGTCTATCCTATTAAAGTAATTTCATTGAGTTTGAATGAAATTGCTTAAATTTAAAATGTTTACGAAGCCTTGCCTCCCAAGATAATGAGTGCTTTTTGTTTGAAAACATCATCCACCATTTTTGTCACTGAGGCATTGTAAAAATGACTATAAACCTTCTCGGTTGCAACTATATTTTGGTACTTTATAGTAAGAGTATCAACAATCGAAAATTTTCCAAAATTCAAACTCAAATTGGCTTAATCTGTCATTGAAAACTAATCAAATCTATTATAATCATTTTACTAGTTTGGCTCTAGCGATATGTTCTAGAATCAATTTTAAACTAACATATTCACAAGTTTAATTAGCTTCTATCAACTCTTGATCTACTTCTCTTTCGTATTCTAATAAAGGATTTCCACCCATTATAAAAATATATTTTTGATCAACTGATCTATGTTCAGCATCTACTTTCTCCTTTTCTCCATTATCCTTATCTTACCATATCAGTCCTTTGTCCTTTATCAAATCAAAAACTATAGGATTCATTCTAGATTTCGTCATTGTGATTATTAACACAGGTGTTAGTGTAACTTCTCTCCTTTTTATTTCAAATACTTTGATTGTTTTCAATGGTTTCTTCTCTCCTCTCTGTAAATGATGTCCTCCAATTACGAATAACACGCTTTTCCATTAATATTCATGTTCACATTCAATCAAATACAATAATGGATCTTATCTAGGCTTATCCTCATTCAGATTTAATGAAACTAAAGGTTTATCTTTATTATCATTTATTAACATATCTGAACTGTATATATGAACTTTCCCTTATTTATTATCGTAGATATAGAATCTTCCTGTTGTTTTCTCTTGAACTATGGACAGAGATGGCCTCTATCCACTAAAATCTTATAACTTTAAATGCTTCTCCCATTAAGTATTGTTGCCTAAATGTTGACTAATTAAAAGGAGATTCTTAGGAGCTATGAAACACAGTTTAGAAATCTGATTTTTGTATAGTCTAACATATTGTTTCTTGGTTGAAACAATCTCTTTTACTACAGATGTTCCACTGGCCTTTTATTCCCTTTCTTTCCTTTTAATTCGAGCTAGAAGTATTATAGCTAAAAAATTGTATACTTTTGTCTAGATGTTTGGCATCCTCATAGGAAATGCCCTCATTCTTAAAAATTGTCTTGTAATTATAAATTAAATTGAATGAGACAATTTCAGGTATTTTCGTTAACAATTAAACTTCTTGAAAAAAATTAGGTTTATCCTCCTAAGTTTCTTCTACAATTTATTCCTTCACTTATGATGCTTGAAGTAACACAGGAATATAAAATGCTCTTAGTTATTCGCATAAATATCATACTAATTTCCTTTTAATATATTATCTATAGTGAGACTAGAATCATCTGCAGACCTTTGAATCATCTTACTTTCATGCTTTTGTTACTAGGTACCATATATATTCCTACATGTTTATAATTCAATACCTATTCAAATTTATCATATCATTGATGTCGATACTATCACTCATTTTAATTAATTTTTCACTTTATATACAAAAAAATCATAACTAATACTAAAGAACACAAGACAAGCTTATTGTGTCTATGGACCAAATGATTGATTGGATTTGTAATTGATATCTAAGAATTTTGATTAACATAAAATCTTATAATTTTAGATTGTAAGTAAGTTATAAATTTCAATTAAAATAAAGGTATTAATTTAATTTATTGAATAAAATTGTGCTAATCAGTATTCATTATTTTTATTCTTACTAATTTTACTATCTAGCCATTTCATTTCGTATTGCGTATTTGTGCAACGGATTTTAATTTAAACTAAAAGATTTAGATTGAGTCGAATTGCCTTTTGCATTTCCTTCATTAGATAAATTGTTTCCATCATTATTACTAAATCTCGAAGGCTTCTGCTATTGCTATTCATTTCTATTCAATTATCTCCCTTATGCGGATGGACTATTGAAACTGTTAATCAATGGCGAATCTTGTATAGATTATTTCAATACCTATTTAATCTGTTCGCCCATTTAATAAAGGACTTTGTTAATGCAGACTATCATTTGAATAATCCTTTCTTAATTTAGAAGAAGCTGCTATTAGAGGTGAATGTAATGGAGAATTATTTAATTACTTTAATCTCTATTTATCAAATCTCAATTGTTCTTCTTGATTTTTCAATGCATTATCCTCATTTTCCTCTATTTATTTTAATCTTCTTCCAAAATAGCCATGACTCAATGCTTCCTTAGCAGATATTCTTGTTTTTGGATTCTTATCAAGTAATTTCATTAGTAGATCATAGGCTTATTAAGGAACACTCTCAAAGATTGAGGCATCAAATGATATTTCACATTTTCTGTTTTTACCCAAAACGTCATTGTAGCTTTTACCAGGAAAGGCTGGCTTTCCAGTGAGTCTAAGATTCAAAACAATCAGCTTACAAAATATAGAATATTAATCCTAAACTAAAAATATCACATATTGGATCATATCTTCCTCCATCTTTGCAATTAATCACTTCTGGAGCCACAAATCCTGGAGTACCACATCTATTAAACAAATAAGGAAATTCATCAGAACGTTGAGCTAATCCAAAATCAGCAATACAAACAGATTATATAACACTTCAAATAAAATTATTAAAATACCCCTATTTTCTAAATAAAATATTTTCTGGTTTTAAATCTCTATGCATTATATTTTTCGAATGCATATGATGAAGTCCTTCCAATAGACTAAAAACAAGCACTTCAATTTCAAATGCATTAAACTATGGTCTATTTTTCACTTTGTCATACAAGGATCCGCCTTCCAAAAGATCAAGTACCATATAAAGAGAATTATCAGTCTCATACACTTCATGCAATTTTATCAGCGCATAACTATCAAGCTATCTCATTATTGCTATTTCATTTAATATTGAAAGCTAAGATAGTTTTTTTATGTACCTTCCCTTTATCTTATCCATATGCTACTTCTTTGGAGAATGCTTTAATCGCAAAACTTCTTTCATCTTCCAAACGATCTGCCAAATATACTGAAGCAAAGTTGCCCTTCCCTATTTTGCGATGAGCCTTGAAGCTTTCATGAAACCCTCTTTAATTTATATGTTTGGCCAAATAATCTCTCCAATTCTTTAGCAATTAAACATCATCTGAAAAAAGTGTTATTTTGTGTTAAACATTCTCTCTTTCAATCTACAACCCCAAAGGTTTCCCTACTTTGAATTTTTCCTCATTAGGTTCTCTCAATAAAGAAAACTTTGTGTCAAATGTTAATGAAATGAATTTCTTTTTATTTGCAACGATAATCTAATTAGAATATCCATGAAGCACTCTAGTTTTACCTTTTTAAGTTTTAAATTCTCCAACTATTTGTGGAGGTTAGGATTAATTTTAAAGAGGCTCTGTTAATTTATAATTCATTTAAAAAATAATCAATATTAAACCTACTGATTTTTAATTTCTTCCTCATTATTACAAACGTTTCAAACCTTAATATTGAGGATTTTCATATTTATAAATTTGATATATAAAATTAGATCTATAAAACAAGTTAATATCAATATAATCAATATTTTTTATAAAATAAATTTAGTAAACTTTAAGTATGCTTTGTGTCGTTTATTATTTTGATCATAAAATTAGATACATCTGAAAGAGTATTAGATTTATTTAATATATTTTTGAAATAAATCATTTATCATAAAATGGAAAAATTATAAATCTCATTCTTATTAAGGTGATAAAAATTATCTAATTAATAATTAATCTATAAATAAAAAAGCATTTCTAATAATCTTATTAATATTTTCTACACTATCATTTAGATTCTTTTCATTAATTGTTTCATAATAAAATTCATATTTATTTAAGGTTCTCCTAGAAAATAACATTTGCTTTTAAAGTTTAAATGATTCAATATATTATTTTTATATTATGTAATAATAAGTACTAACAAAAGATAGGGAAAAAATTGAACTTTTCTTCTCCGCTAGAGGCCTAGCCAATAAGGATGTTCTCTCAGATAGTGACCCTTAATTATATGTCTATTTAACAGAAGGAAAACAAGGAGCTGAAAAATTAATAGCAAAAACAGAAGTTAAAAAAAACAACCTGAATCCTGATTGGAAAGTAAATACGTATTTTTATTCCAAGGTATCTGTTGTTTTGGACTTTATCTTTGAAGTAAACCAATACCTTCGATTCTTAGTTGTGGATAGTGACGGAGACGATATTAAGGATGACGACATAATTGGTACTTTAAATGTATGCTTAACTTTATAATTTTAGACTACTGTGGGGGAAATAATGGGATCGAGGAACTAAGTTTATATGGGCTAGCTTTCATATAAAAATAAATAAACAGGAAAGCTTCTGGTAAAAGCAGATAAAAGATAAGAAATAAAAGGATCAAATTAAGTTATTTATTGGCAATGGTATGGGAAGAAAATAAAAAATATGGATGGATGGTTTGGAGTATCAGACCCTTTTCTAAGATTCTTTAAATGGCATAAAAATTCAGATTGGTTGATGGTTCATGAAACTGAATTTATAAAAGATAATGAAAGTCCAATTTGGAAAGGCTTTGAAATAACTCATGATAAATTACATGATGAGAATCCATAATAGCCAATTAAAATTGAACTTTGGGATAATGAAAAGGATGGAAAACATTAATTGATTGGATCTGTCGAAGTTACTATAGAGTAAATATTTTTCAAAGAGATTCATGAGTTTCAAGTTAAAACACCCAAAGGAGTAATTAATTTAATCAATTTAGGAATTTGGAGGAACTATTGGAATAAAATCCTTTTAAAAGCCATCATTTATTGATTATTTGAAAGGTGGAGAATAGATTAATCTTTAAATTGCCATTGATTTTACAGGATCAAATGGTAACCCTAATCATCAAAGCTCATTACATTATAATGTTCCAAATCAATTAAATCAATATTAAAATGCATTGAGCCAAGTGGCAGAAATATTGCTGAATTATGACTTTGATAAAAAGGTTCCTGTATATGGTTTTGGTGGTATACCCTCCTTACCTAACTATCATAAGGGTTCAACAGATGATTGGTACTTTATATTTATATGTAGTTTCCCACTTAATGGTAATAAAAAAGATCCAGAAGTTTTAGGACTTGTAGGAATTATGGATGCTTATAAGCATGCACTTAACCATGTTTCATTAAGCGGTCCAACAGTATTTGCTCCTGTTATAGAGAATGCAATAGAAATTGCGGAAAAGAATAAAAAAAAAGACATTTACAACGTTCTCTTAATTATGACAGATGGTTAAATTGATGATATGGATGAATGTGTTAAATTGGTTAAAAAAGCAGCAAAACTTCCATTATCAATTATCATAGTCGGAGTTGGTAGTGCTAATTTTTAGAAAATGGAGGATTTGGATGGAGATGGTCCATAATATTAAGATTGTTTAAGAGATGTTGTTTAATTTGTGCCATTTTTGAAATTCTCTGGAAAGCCAGGAGATTTGGCTAAAGAATTGCTCTCAGAATTACCTGATTAATTAATTTAGTATAAATAATTGATTGGAAAGGGTCCAAACCCTGCATAATAAATAGATTTAAGCAAATTAGCATGATAATTCTATGAGTATTAAAACACAAAACATTAATCAGAGTATCTTCTTAAATGATTCAAAAAAATTAGTTCCCTTAAAATCATTTTAAATTGTGATTCTGTTCTATAACCAAGTCGAAAACTTTAATCTTAGTTTATCTTCTGAAAATCTTTTGTCTATTAAGAAGAGCAGACCATAATCGTTTTTATGTCTGATAACTCTTCCAATACATTAATTAACTGCTCTCATTGTGATATTATCATAATATTAATTCCCATTTATATTAATTTATTCTTTCAGTTCAAAACTATCAAGATTTGGGTATGGAACTCCAAATATAATTACTGCTCTAGCTAAATGATCAGAAAAGTTAATTCCTTCTGACAATGAACCCCCTACAACTGATAATAGAATGGCACCTTTTTTAGCCACTTCAGAATATTTCTCCAGAATTTAAGAACTTTACTTCTCATCAAAAAACACTTATTTGCTAAACTGTAGATTATTTGATTTTGCATATTATTTGAATTACTCTAAAAATGTATAGGTTTACATGAAGATTACAATTCCCTCTGGAATGCATTTTTCTATGTCTTAAATAAGTGAATTCGTTTGAATCATAAGTTAATTCAAATTTTCATTCTTTTACTTAAACGAATATTCTAATTATGCATTTATTACTAATAATTAACATCTGTCTTTTGAAATTATATGAGGATATTCCTTAAAAATAAACTCATTAGAATCAACTCTCTCTTTGAATATTTCAAATTCATTCAATGGTTATAGGGTTCCTCCCAAAAAGACTAAGTTCCTTGATTTGTCAATTAAAGTTTAAAAACTTGAATAATTATTAATTTTGGACAATTTCATAGTATTTGATTTTTCAATATATAGAATTGATTCCTTTTAGGATGTGAGAATCAATTACGAAATAAATTTACAAAAACATTCAAAGCTAGAATAGTGTGTAACATTTTATGATGAATCAATGAATCCATTAATTCTCTGTCTCATCTCTTTATTTTGTAAAAATTTTATTAATTTAATGATGTTCATCTTAGCGGTGGAGTACGAAGCATTGTTT